GAAAATGTTGAATGGGTAGAACCAGTGCACTGGTTAAACGAAGAGAGATCAATTGCCCCATAACCTCCTTTTTCCTGAAAGATACAAAGTCTCATTTTTACTGTTCCTCACTGTCACTGTCCCTTCATTGGTTATTGTTTTTCCCTTCCCTTTCTTTTTTAGAAACCTGCTGCCACTTTACAATGTCTGTGCCAGGGGAAAAGGTATAAAATCTTGAGGAAACCGTTCAGAATAAATAGTAGGAAAAATAATTAGGTTAGCTACTGACCTGCCGTTTTCGTTAAGGTCTAGTTATTAATTCAAGAGTATGTCACAACCCCCACTATGTTATATTAGTTCAACCAACTGTCTTGCTCTTTTTATCCTAAAATGGCAAATCTCTATATTCTAGGTTGAGGAAGTTGTTCTATATAATTCTTAAAATAAAACACAGAAATCTCAATGAAATGGGTGAAAGGAATCATCCTCCCACCATTCTGCCCTCAAAAGCATCTGAAATCTGGCCAAAGGGCAGCCATCCAATATAGACTTAGTGAAGGACTTTCTCCAGAGATTTTTTTTTAACCTGTATGTGGAATTTAGCAATTATAGAAATTTCAGTTTAAGAAACAATAATAAAAAAGCTTCAAGACAAATAGTATAGAAAATGAAATCTATATTATACATTTCTCAGATATACAAATACTTATAACACATTTTTTTTTTATAAAAGTCACTGACAGCTGATACCTTTCACTAATCTAAAGTAGCACCAGCTGGAAAACACAGGTTTCAATGGAAAACAGGATAGTATGCAAATGGAGTGAACTTCAGAAACAGTAAACTGATCATTCCTTACAACAACTACATACAAATTCTATTGTACTGATTTTTTGTTGTTGCTTTCCATACATTTTGTAAACAGTATTTACAGTTCCAAGACATTTTGTATATACAGGGAACAAGCCATACTTCTCCAACCTAGCGCCATCTGCAACTTTCAGAATTCCTGACATACACAGCTATTTTGGATAATCAAACAAAAAGGCATTTCTCCAGATCCTCAGACTTGTCCTCTGTATGTACATGTTGGAAGTGGTTACATTTTGTCAGTGTTGGGAAGACCTGGTAAACTCTTAATCTCGCTTGTTCTATTTCCTATAAAGCAATTAGAAAGCAGTGCACTAACGTTAGCATCTCCATTTCATTACCCCAGTTTCCTTTCAAATGTGATTCAGTGAGGAAGAAATGGGATTAGTTATAGTCACAGTACTTACTCAGAATGATTTTAGAAAAAAAATAGACCTACAATCATGACAAATGGAATGGGAGATACTGTCTTACAGCAACCTTCTCTAATCTAGTGCTTTTCAGACATGTTACTCTTCCATTCCAGCACACCACAGAAATACGGCCTAGGGATTTTGAGAGTTTCAGCAGAGACATACCAACGATTTTTATATACAGCATTTTAGACATAACACTAACAGTTAAAGTTAATTCAGTGGGGAAACACTTCAATTAGAACGGAGCAAGTACAATTTGAAAGGTAACCAGCTTCAAGAGGACCACCGCTGGCATAAATGTACTGATTAATTTTTTAAGTGAAAAAAAAATTAAGCACCTTTAACCTGTGCTTAATGAAAAGTTCCTTTATGTCACTTCATAAATTACACTGAGTAATTTTATACTCTATTTTGTTGCAGCCTTGATTGCGTGAGAAAGAATAAGAGGCTATGAATATGAAAAATACCAAAACTTCACCCACAATTTCTGACAATCATATTCAGCTACCTCTCTGGCTCCTGAGATTTCAGAAGGCATGCCCATGCTCTTCAAGCATACATTTTGCCTGCATCAATGCTGGATCCTTTCTTAAAGGCAAGGTTCTTAGAAAGCTACGTTCAGCACCCACTATCAGTCTATGATTTGCTGCCCTCTCATACATTGGAGGCATACATGAGCTTTCAGTTTCTTAAACAATAAATATTCCAAAAACACTGTTAAAGAAGGCATATTACTTCTATGAAGAAACTTAGCTTCTTCTATTCTCTCTAGCTGAAACAGTATGTTAGCTGCTTTTTGTCTGTACTCTATTTATTGGTGGAAGCTAAGAAGTGGCACTTCCAAGATATTTTATTTATATATATTTAGTGTTTTATATATATATATATATATAAACCAACTACTTTCAAGTCCAAACTTATTCTCTCTTTGAACTAGGATGTATAATCACTAAAACACTATGAATAAATTTGTTTTGGTTCCTCAACTGCCTCTTCTAGAAATTTCTTGCGATTTCAAAGACCACAGCAGAACTAGTTTGTCACAAAGCAAAACTGTTTGTTTTTCTAAGATACTTTGTTGAAACATTATAAATTATTTTGTTCTACTCTGCTATAAGGGCATACTATTCCCATCCTAAGGTTGAAAAATATTCTGTTTAAGCAATAACGCCAGTTTCCAAAAAATATCACATTTTGCCCTTATTTTAACACAATCTCTTTTCCACCTTTCCTGTCAGTCCGAACTCCAGTAAGAATGTTCTCACTTTTCTTAATGTACTATAATTCCAACTTTTACTTTTTCAGTCCCTTCTACTGGTCTGACCCTCTTATTTTGAAGCCCAAGGAATTAAAAGACAGAGATAAGAGATGTGGTGAGAAGTAAAAGAGCACTCCATTCTGGAAGTACCCAAATGACTGGGCTGCTTGAATCAGAGGAATGTCACAGATGTAGTGTCTTAGAGCCCAGAAATGGGCAGACTTCAAGTTTGCAGGATTTTTAACCTTTTTTTAAATTTAAAACCGAAGTCCATCATCTGATGCTTGGGGTGACAGACATATACTTAATGTTGCATAATTCTGAGCCAAGTAATATGTTTGAGTACCAGTACTGAACACAGCTTGCAATCCTTCCAAACAGAAATCCATACTTGGACCCCAAAACTTTTAACAGCACAACTTAGGATAGTGGCAGAGGGAAAATCTTGTTACTGCTAGTATTAAATAAGAGGCAGTAGAAAAGTCATGCTGCTCTATTGCAACAGATCCAAATCTGCCCACCATCTCCTTTCCTCAAGAGCTAGGAGGTGAGAGAGAAACAACTCCATTGGGCCTCAAAGGGACCATTAAGGCCTTAATCATGTTCAATGTGCATGGATAGTTCATTGGTTTGTATCCTGAGTTGTCTTAAGTGTAAAAGTCAATTTGACTGGTGATGAGGAAGTCTTTATGCAAAGTCCTTGGAACAAGTGACTGATTCTGACAGCCCTAGGTACTCCAGGTTCTCTGCTGTTGGAGTTGGAGGAAAGCCATTGGTAGCAGCAGGAGGAACAAGTGAGGTGGCAAAGAATTCTGCTGGATTGCATTTAGGATTCTCTTGGTTCCAATAATAAAGGTTGTCAAAGGCTTGTGGTAAAGGGCTGGACACAGGGACACTGCATGGTGTCAGGTACTCTGGATTTTCCACTGCATTGGTGAAGCTGATGTAGAATGCATTCTTTGGTTCCTTGGTAAGCCCATTCTTGCCCATGTGCCTTTTTTGCTTTTCCAGTGTAGAACCCGGTAGTCGTAGGTTTTTGTTGGGTAGAAGGCTGTTTTCTGGTTGATTTACATACTCTACAGGAAAAAAAAGAGAAGAATAGGAATAGCAAAATCCAAGTTGTAGTAGCTTGCATGCTTATCAAGAAACTGCACTCCTGGCTCCTTTTTTAAATCCATAATTAGAAACATACTTTAAGAACAGCTAGAAACATACTTTAAGAACAGCCAAATCCACAACAAAAGTTCCCAAATATGCCGTCATACAGAGTAGGACTGTGCAGTGCTTTAGATTTGCAAGTTTAAAAAAAAAAAAAAGCTTCAGAGTACCTTGGATGCTTCTATCTGTGACTGCTGAAACTAAATGTACTTTCCTGGGATCATGCTGCAGCTGCAGAGGGCAACTGCTTGTTCCTGAGAAAAAATATGTTAACTTTTAAGGAGTTGCAGACTACATGAACATCCCCAGCATTGTTCTGCCTTCAAAACCAAATTGCTCTGCAGTCTAACAGCCTAGGAGTAGCACTTACCTGGTATGACAGCCAAGGGTAATGGTGTAGTGTAGCTCTTGGTATCTGGATTCTCCTTTTCATTAATTGAAGCACTTGTGGGATCTTCACTGTAGCGTTGAAGAGAATCAGGTGCCTGCAACGGTGCTGGACTCTGCACTGCTTTGTTTGCTGTATAATCCTCCTCACGCAAATCAGAGGTGATACTTTCAGACTCTTCTGAAAGGGATGGCCCCAAATATGGGTACTGAGGAGATTCCTCAGTCTCTTCTGCGTCCATTTGAGTCTCTATAGCATTCTAGAAGGAAACAGTTCACAAGATCTAAAAAATGGATGTTATAAGTGCAAGCTATGGATCTAGATCTGCATTTTTATGGAGAATTTTGGAATCTGGAATGAGGATGGATGGATGGATGGATATTTCCCCCATCTAGTATGTAAATGCATTTAATCAATAATGCAGGTGGTTTACAAATTTAGGCTTAAAAAATATACAGTTCTTTAATTAACATATGTTGAAGTCTTCTACCTATCATAGCGCAGAAAATTAGCAAAATAGAATAACCTGCAAGAATTGAGCCAAAGATATGTTCATCCCCACCTGTCCCCCCGGCAAATACTTTGTTATTTTATTGCTTGTTATTATATGTTATTGCTTTGTTTTTCAATTCATACACATAACCTTTACAAGCAGATCTCCAGGCTTTTTGGACCTGTGGGCATGTTTGTCCCAGATCTCTTCAGATTAACTGTTGAAGGAACAGGGCCAATCCTCCTTCTACTCTCTGCGTGTAGGTTTGGTATATGTGCTTCTCCTACTACCTCTAGCTCCTCCTCCTCCTCATCCAAATCCTAGTCTAGCTGTCTCTGGAAAGGTGTTTTTTTTTCCTTTTCTTGCTGATTTTTTTTCTCCTCTTGCCTCAAAAGGGAATTCTGTACCACAGCCTTCAGCTGCTTGCTGATAATAGCCCTTGATTGGCAGATTCCCATTTCCTCTTCCCACCCATGCTCAGAAAGCAAGTGCCAATCTTTTGCAATATGCAGGCAGTTCTCTGAAGCATGTGGTTTCAGTTGGAAGGGGCAGTAGAGATCATCTGGTCCAGTTTTTCAAACTTGGCAACTTTAAGATGTGTGGACTTCAACTCCCAGAATTCTCCAGCTTCTGGGAGTTGAAGTCCATATGTCTTAAAGTTGCCAAGTTTGAAAAACATTGACCTACTCTGATCCCCCACTCAGAGTTGGAGTTGCTTGCTCATGATGAGCATTTCACCAGTCCATCAGTGGAGGAGACAACACATACTATCATTTTGCTTGAGCTAGAGGTAGAAATTGACAAACTCTGTGGAGGGCACTGTGCAAAGGAGACAGGCATGCCTTTCCCACTATACACTAGCCAGTTGGAGTTGCCTGCAACAAAATGAAGTGTACCAGATAAGCCACACAGCCCTGCTTATGCAAACAGAGATAGAGAAAGGCTTGACATGGAGCAAGAGAAGACAGGGGAGCTTGTTTTTGTGGCAAGTTGGGCAGATTGAGGGTGCTGTGTGTATCCTCCAGAATCAGTAAGAGGGCCATCGTCTCATCAGGGCAAGCAGGATGTCCTTCTTCCCTTTCCCCTCCCAGTCCCCTAAGCAGCAACTTTTCTTTATGTTCTTATAGTGCTGGTTGGACAGCACGTAGGAGTATTCCAGCCAATAGCTTTTTAAAGTCTTCATTCTTTCCTTTCCCCATTTGGGCAAGGGAAAGGAAAATGGCAAGGGATGCAGTGGCGCAGCGGCTTAATGATGCTGAAAGTTGCCGGCCAGAAATGGTCGAACAGCGGTTCGAGCCCAACTCTGCGCAGCAGAGTGAGCTCCTGCTTCCTCCCCAGCTCCTGCCAACCCAGCAGCTCGAAAACTTACATGAGTAGATAAATGGGTACTCTCACCCCGGTGGGAGGAAAAATGCTGGTGGCGCTTGCATGGGAGATGGGACCAAGTTGCCGGTAACGCGGAAGCCGCACACGCCCGAAAAAGGTGTGAAGCAATGGAAACCCCACCTCCTGCGCTCGCCAGCTGGCCTCTGCTCTAGGAAGGAGGCAATGGCAAACCACTTCCAAAACACCTTGCCTTGAAAACTGCAGAGACTCGTCCAGGCAGTCAGCGCAGAATCGGTAACGATTGAGTGCGGATAAAAAAAAAAAAAAGGAAAATGGCAGATAGCTGGAAACTAGAATTCTTATTATTGAGCCCTTCAAGGAAGACTTTTAAAATTTTGCTTGCCTAAAGTAAAGCAGTTCTTGAACTGAAAAATATTCCCTATTTCTACTCTGTAGAAATATAGTGTAGCATAACCAAGATACAAACGGGTTTTGTCTGTTTTGGCTATAATAAACTGAACCATATGCTTACTCTTGCAGAAGCAATTCTAGATCGATAGTCAGCTGATGTTTCACCACTGAAAAAGCCTTGATGGGGGACAAGGTATTCTTCTGCATCCACCAAGTCTTGCATGTCTTCCTCTTCCAGCAAAGTGCGATAGAAAGTGCTGTCTATGGGGCTAGCAAGACCCATCTTTTCATCGTTCTATCAAGAAAAACAAACAGTAAATACTTGCAGCTCCCAAAATTCTCTTGCTTCTACTAAAGTATGGGGTAGCCTTATAACTCCCTGGATGGTCAAAATTAATATCCTCATAATGCAATTATATCAACTAAGGCTGTGAGGGTGACTTATCTAAGGTCATCTAATAATTTCATGGCAAAAGTGGGAAGTGAAGTGGGGATTTCATGGTTCATAGCTTATGGCTTTACAATTATGGGGCACTATGCCAATTTCCACATATTTGCCATAATATCTTCTGCAATCTTATCCAAGATTAAAAATAAAACACCACTCTGGCAGCAGAGGAACACAAACAGGAAGCAATGCAGCAAAAGGTTACTATTTCTAATTAGCACCATATATTATACAGTGCAACCCCAGAACATAAACCAGAGGTAAATATCTAGTGTTCTCAGAGCCACACTGGCCACCAAAAGCATTGGATGTGGCCCCTAGAATGTCCTCCATTACCATTTTTTTAATGTGATACAGAAAGGGAATTATGTAGTACATGGAGAGTATTCCTATTCATTATATATAATTAATTTCATTACAATTAAATATCAAATGAAACAAAATCAAATTAATTTTATTATCTTGAATGTTCTCCCTTTAACTTGGCCTCATAAACTTTATAAAATGTTGCCCCCAACAAGTCACTTAAAAGAAAAGTGGGACTTTCACTTGTCTACCCAATACAGGTTCTCACATGTTTTGGCTTAATAGAGAGTTTCTGATGCAGATAATGGCACTGAGAAGACAACTGATGGCAATATTGAAAACTCAGATAAAACATAAAACACAAATAAGCTTATAACACTGTCATATGATATTTACTTAGCTAATTCCTGCACTTCATTGCATGAAAATATCCATATACTGTACTCTGCTCCTTCAGACTCAATTAGAAATTGCATCTTCTATAAATTTAGAAGCAAGTTAGGTAACAATCCTTGGTGAAATGGTTGCTTATATTATAAAAGCCACAAGGCTTTTCCAATTTCATTGCCCATTTGCTTTGAAGGCCACAGTGTTAAGGATAGACACATATTGTTGCCTGGAAAGCCAATGGTTCCAGAGAATTTAAGCATGTGACCATATACCGCTGAGGAATACAGGGACACTGCACCAATACTTGGTCATTATTAATTAATTTGCCTTTGGCATAAAATATTTCCCCAAGACCAAAACAGAGAGAGAAATCTAGACCACTGAGGTCCAGATTAAACAGCAGGCTATGAATTTGGCCTACATACATTCAGAAGACTTCATATGGTTACAGCAGCAGCTATAGTAATTTCAGACACTTTCATGCATTGCACTAGTAACAATATCAATTTTTCCTAGCAGTAAATTAACCTGGATGCCAGCTTTAGAAGGCTGTAGTAGGCTTAGTTATCAAGAATATCAACAACCAGGAGAGCTATCTTTGTTGTGACCTTATAGGACACCTTTGGGTATATCTAACTAGCCACATTTTGAGAAACAATGCTACTCTAGCTTGGCTTGATCTTGTGCAGCAGGAAGCTCTTCTAGTTTTTCTTCCCCCTTTTCCCCACCATTCTTACTGTTATGCAATAAAAGAATAATGCTCTTAGGAGGTAGCGCATGCCTCCTGACAGTAAAACATCTTCCTCACCTGAATAACCACAAACCTCTGAGGATCTCTGGCCATGCGTGTGAACTCAGTAACCAATTCTCGGAACTTGGGCCGGCATTCTGAGTCAATCATCCAGCCTTTGGAGCAAAGAGAGCATACACATATATGACCAAATTAAGTCCTCCTTATGACAAAAAGAACTAGTTTCTCTGATTGTGGGAAGGAGAAGAATGGTCAGCAAAAGAATGACCCTTGCAAAGATCAGCTAGCTGGAATGAACAAGAAAAAAAATGCTGGAAATATCATCATGACTTCTGGAAATTCAAAATATTTATTTACCTATTTTAGAACCTTTATATTGCTTTTAATCTCCTACAGTAGCAGTTCATATATGGGGTTCAGAAAAGCTGTATTTGCAAATTCTATGCAAAATGAGAAAAACTGCCTAATTTCTACATAATTTATTCTGCAAATTTTACCTTTGTTTCTCACAGGAAAGGCTAAAAATCTGCAAACACACTAAAGATGCCTATCCCCAATTTGGTAGAAAACCCAGATAGAAGTCAGGACTAGGTAGACATTGCCCACTTTTAAATATCTGTATCTAGAACATATGCTGCTTTTGATTTTAGAATGGAAGTAGGCTTTCCAAAAACGTAATGCTATGCCAAACATCATATTATACACTTTTAAAAATAATTCTGCAGAATATAGTATATATATCTGAATAAATAGCAGCAAAGTTAGTAGTTGACAAAAAAAAATACACCAATGATGTATTATAATGCTTAGAACTAACTATGCTGTTTGAAGGCACAGCCAAAATATTGTCATATCTTAGAATCACAGAATTGGAAGTGATCGATACGTGGTCATCTAATCCAACCCCCGCTTGATACATGCAGTTCAACTTCCTCTCATTCTCTTCCTGCTTCTTTTTACAGGATAGCTGGAGGCCAAAGCTAGGCAGATTACAGCAACCAACCAACTTCCTCCTTTATATTTTATTGCATTCTTGACCACAGACTTGCTCAATCTGATGCTCCTCAGATGTATTGGAGCTCCAATTTCCTTTCTGGGGCTAGTAGCCCCAACCCATCAGAAAATTATTTTTCACCTTCCACCTTCCACCATCCCTGATGTCTTACATTTAACCATAATCATATAGACATCAATGGTGCAAATAGGAGGCTGGGGCAATCTCTCTCCTTTTTCCAGCAGATCAGGAATCTCTCGGGCTGGGATACCATCATAAGGCTTTGCACCGAAAGTCATCAGCTCCCAAACAGTAACACCTGGAGAAAGGGTGGGGGTGGGAAAGAGAAAAAGGGAGTTTCCCATGAAGCAACAGTCAAGTTTTCACAATGAGAGTTAACTGGAAGGAGAACAGACCCCACGTACCATAGCTCCACACATCACTTTGGTGAGTAAATCGTCTGCGCAAGATGGATTCCAAGGCCATCCACTTGATAGGTACCTGGAGAAATAAACCAGTAATGTACGGATGACCCCAAGTCACATCTCTGCTGGCTGGTTTCAAGCAGTACATGGATATTTGGATGTTTTTAGATGGTGCTAAGAAATGGTTGTGTACGTAATCAAAGCTTAATTCTCAGTGCAGAGGTAAAGCAATGCTGAAGCTGTACCCTTTCAGATTCAAAGCAGGTGGTAAGAGGACCCAACAGAATAGCCAGAAAATTTTGCCTGGAGAAATATTCCATCATATGTGCTGATTCCTTATATGCAACAATTAATGGAAGAGTCTAAACACAGCTTACCAATCCTGCTTCCAAACTCTGAAAAATGCCACCAAATCACCTTTTCAGCTCTATTTCAGCCATTTTGATATTTGGATTTTTAAAAAAGATTTGGAATGGGAGTGGTTTGCTTCCCAGAGACCTCCTGCTAAAGGTCTTCCTACCTTAATTTTTGGGAAAAAATAATGATACTGCTGACATTTTTCTCACTGAAGTTCAGCCGTGGGATCTTGATGTACTAGGGGGATGCAACTTGCATACCTCAAGTTGGTCATCCCTACTTTAAAAAAAAAGTGTAAAGTGGGACGGGCTTTAGACAGCTCATTCCTAATGTTAGCTCCACTCCTTGCACAGCTTCAATACTTGTGGTCTCTATTAACAGTCAAAGCTGCTCTATATACACCATATGTGCAGCTCTATCCCTGTTGCCCTTCCTTTTTTTTAAACTAGCTTGGTTTTAGTATATTTATAATTTCAGTTTGTTAAGTTATTTTGCACAGAAGGAGAAAGTGAGGGAAACTGGGATAATATGCTTTTAGAGCCTTTAATTTAAGAAACAAAGGAATCAGTTCATGTGCTAGAAAAAGAGGCAGACCAGGTAGAAAGGATGACATCAACGGGAAGTAGAGGAGGGACTGAGCATGAATGTCTTCCAGAGTTATTCACAAATCTTCCTTAAATATTAATTGTGAAATGTAATCTGAAATCTATAGAAGTTCTAATTCTTGCTCTGTGTGGGTGTGTGTTTTAATACCACATAAGAACTGTACAAGACAAAAATAATTGTCAAAATACCAGCAAGCCTTTGTTCAGAAGAGGTTGTGCTCTTAACTCATAAAATTAGAGTATCAGTCAAATATTATTTGCAGATATTTTGGGTTACAGCAAGAGACACTTTTCTGTTCAACTAAGACATTGTCAATCTGGCATTTCTGTAGGAGGGAGCAAAGCGTATCTACTGTTTTATAGTGTACTGTTAACTGTAGCATTTCCCAGTAGAATTTATCTGCATTTGGCCCATTAAATAAGGAACATTCCCATGTCCCACCTTCCCTCCATCGGCGTGATATTCTGTTTCATCAATGTCCAGCAGTCGGGCCAACCCAAAATCTGTAATCTTCACATGATTTGGACTCTTCACCAGGACATTCCGGGCAGCCAAATCCCGATGAACCAAACGGACATCCTCCAGGTAGCTCATGCCCTGAAAGAGAAGCAAATGCCTGTTGGTTCCCTGGCCAAGGAGAAGTATTGATAGATCTCTTTAAGAGAATGCATTTCCATCCACATGAAGGTTATAACATTATAATTAATGTTATGATTAAAATCAACTTCTTTTATGTCACCAGAAAGTTGCTCAAATTTAATTTGTAAGCAAAAGAGAAAGAAAAAGAGTTGGGGGTTTCCTAATATGCCTTTGTCAATGGGTTACTCCCTTTCACGCAAATGTTTCAATATATGTAGCTACTATCTACTGACCTAGACAATTATTCTCTTTAATCTAATACTACCTACTCTGGGAATACAGGTAGTGCTCAACTTAATGACCATTCATTCAGTGACCATTTGCAGTTATGACAGTGCTGAAAAAGAAGACTTATGACCGGTCTTCGAAGTTGTGGCCATCCAAGCACCCCTGTGGTCATGTGATCTGGTGCTTGGCAACCCATTCGCACTTATGACTGGTTGCCAAGCGCCCCGCAATCACATGATCGCCATTTGCAACCTTCCCTGCCAGCTTCTTCAGAAAGTCAAAGGGGAAGCCGGCAGGGAAGATTGCAAATCACTGGGATAAGTCTCCTCCACCCGCAGACCCTCCCCCAGCACATTGCACCCTGCCGGCCACCGTGCACCCCCTCCCTGACCCACA